AGAGAAGAAAAAAAAAACAATAGTTTCCACTTTCCTCGGTGATTTACTGCAGGAGACAGAATGAATTAAGCCTTTTTTTTTTTTTTTAAGGGGGAAAATCATCGAATTACTGCTCTCGCCTGGGTGAGGCGGAAGGGACGGACAAGGGAAGGTGTCAGACTCTTACTGACTAAAAACCACCCCGTTCCTTCTCCTGCACGTTGAGCCGGAGCCCCGGTTACCCGTTAGGTTCTCCGCGACATGAATTAAGCCTAAAGGCACAACAAAAAGGGACTGTACAACTGAGTGAAGCCCAGTCGCCAAGCACCACGGAAATTTGACTAAAAAAAAGTGGGTCCTATGTGTGAGCTGTTATACTTGCTTCCAATAATAGGTATAGCAAAAGCACCTAAACGCACGGAAATTAGTTTTAGATTCCACAAGTGTTACATAGTGTTACGTTCACTGTCAATTCGAACTTTGAAAGTGAGCTCGATCGCGTACTCGTCCTTCATTTGTCGAGATTATTCTCACAATCAATGACATGGCGGTCCGCGATCAAGTTCACTTCAATCTTTCAAATTGAATGTTACAGAATTGCCTAGTTAAGCTCTTAAGAGTCCTCTACATATGAGGAGTTTGTCATAATTTCCACGCTTCATAGATAGCTGATAAAAGGTCTTGTTAAATGTGTATTATCTTAACTGGTTCCTACAATATCCCAAAGACTAGGGATGCTAACATTTGTATTCTACTCTGCTATCACCATGATACAGGTTAAGTAGGGTAATATACTTGACTTCTTGTCATATTCCAGATGCAAGTTGTATGTGTAAGTTTGGCGACATTGCAGTCGTGAAGGCTTTATGTAATAACTGGTGCATAGCACAAATATATACAAAATGCTTTCTGTGTCAGTGCCTGTTACTTGGTGCTAGTATTGTGGAAATATATAACTTTTATTTATGTATGCAAGTGATAAAAGAGAGAAAATACTACAAATTTCAGTAATTCGTTAGTCAGATCTTAGTACTAACTGCTAATACTTCTTTGCTAGCTAGCTACAGTTTTTTTATGGGATAGGCAAACGAGCAGACGAATCACCTGATGGTAAGCGATCTGCACCTCCCATGGACACCCGAAATACCAGAGGAGTGATAGGTGCGTTGCCGGTCTTAAAAAGAATTACGCTCTTTTCTTGAAGGTTTGAAATTCGTATCGGTTCGGAAACACCACCGATGGCAGATCATTCTACAGTTTTGCTGTGCGAGGAAAAAATAAAGCTACATGTAAAGGTTTTTGCCATCAGACTACCGGTAAGCTTTGAAACTTGCGACCTACTTCCAGAAAACAATATCGAATCCTGAAGAACACGCATTGATTGCTAATATCTGAAACAAAATAGATATTTCGTGCTTCCATAATTTCTATTCACCAATGCAAATGACTGTAAAACTCAATTTTCAGAAACAAAATGAAGTTAAAAACAATGAAGTAAATATAGATATCTGGGCGGAGCGAGGTTGGGTGGAGTTACATCAATTCAGCAATTTCATTATACATTATTGGAAGGCTGTTTGTCGGTGGCTGGCTCGCTGCCAACCCCTTGCATAATGTTTCAAACACTGCAGTCACTTAGCAGAGCCAGCCGAAGGTTCAGTAGGAACTTTCAAACTGAACTACGAACTTTGTTGTGGTTAGGGGATGTTGGATAGATGTATTATAAATAGAAACATATTAGATAAAATAGAACAGGGTATTTTAGCGCCAATCGCTTTTGATGTAATTGATTTCCTTTAATTTTTTTGACAACTATACTTAATACCTACCTGAAATTTCACAAGTTAATTACGATTTCGTACAGTTTGATTAGGATTACGAAACGATTTGAATATCGATAGGTTTTTTATATCTTAAATGAATGTCAAAAACTGCCCCAGGACCATCATTAAATACCTCTTGTAAAAATTAAAAGTGTCCATTGAATAATGTTATAATGTACACGAATTCGTAAATTAGCCTTCTGTGTTTCTCTTAACAGTGCCATTGGGAACTTGACTTGCATCGTCCAAATGTCGCGACCCGACTATCGTTGTAAAGTTTTGCATTTATACCCGACATTCCAGCTTTTTATGCAAAGTGTTATTGTATTGTACGAATTTCAGCTTGAAATGTATGCGCAATCGTAGATGTTATGGGCGGTTATTGTATTTATTGTGTTATAACATAAGCTGTTTTGGTGCCAAATCTGATACTAAGTAAGTATTTCTTCTTTAGTAGGGCGTTGCTACCTATTTAGTCATAGCTAATACCGTAATAGGTACTCATGAATAAATAACGAAATGTGTAGTTCGTATCAGTCTCTCCCTTTAGGAGGGATAACAGATGTCACATTAGGTTTAACTAATTTGTAATCTAAACGATAACAACTGATTTTATGAAAACAGACGATGCAAGAAGAATAAGCTTGTTTAAAAAGGGTTAGTTAAATCCAAGTACATGCATTCTTATTCCAAAACCTTTGTATGCACAAACTTAAATAAAACACTAAAAACCAACTTGAATCCTCAATTTAAGTTGGTGGAACAAACGACCTCCACCTTAAAGTTGAACAAAGAAAGACTAAAGGCAAGCTTTAAAGAAGCCTACGAAATGGTAATAAACAGCTTACTACCAGTACTTGCACACTCGACTAACTGCACTATTAATGTACCACATTATTGTTTCCAACTGCACTAAAGAGATTAACTTTGTACACACATACATTGTATTATGTACCTAATTCTCTTGTAATTTTAGAGCGGATTTTCTTTGAATATAATTGTTCCTTATTTCATTTCATTGCCGTGTTCCATGTAAGGAAATTGTGGGTTGTGGATGGTAGTATTCGATTCCGTATGTAATCGATTTAAGACTCAGTGCAGACTGTAATCTAGTTGGGATAGGTCATGAGTAAAATAAATAACCCTGTGACTTTCCAGGTATGCAATTCAGAGAAAAGCAAGTTTACATTTGTGATTTCCTTCGTATAGGTATTTATTTAACTTTAAATTTCCTTTTACTACCAATTTCAGTAACCAATCTTGTTGTTTATCAGATCAGGTATTGGTATCTTGCTGTCTCTTGTTTGAAACGAAAAAATGTATGAGAACTGATAGAATGCATTGAAAATATACCTTTCTTGGAATTCAGCAGCTAGCCTTAGACTTTTCAAGCGTACCTAGTTTCCAGTAAATAAAAATAAAACTTTAACCTTTAACCTACACGAATGCCAGACAAAAAGAGTTCAGACAGAGATTCGTAGAAGGATATATGACATTAACATATAGTTATTTCGTTTAATATATAAAAATATAGACATGGATTAATAAGGTAATGAAACATGACGAATTTACAACGTTGAAGTTGAAATATAGTACCTGGCGATGCATACAACACATTAACTTTTTAGAAAAATACAACTTTGAATGATATTACGATCCGATTGCAAAAAACTTTTTATGATTAGAGAAGAGCGCTCGACAAGTTTTAGTGGTTTATTTATAATAGTGTCTCTTTCCTAAGATCGATGTGCTATATAATATATCGCCAGGTTCTGCACATAAACTCCTTCAGCTGTCAATTCATGCACCTATCCCCATAAAATCATCTGCCATTATTTATGGCCTTCTGTTTACGGATGCACTGATACTGCGCATAAATTTACGACATATTTATGAGTCCCGGACCTTATTCATGGGTGATAGACCTTCCCAAGGGTCTCTCTTGGGTCCAAATTTGGTTTATAGAGACCTTGTGGTTATATAAAAATATTTTGTAAGAGATACTTTAATGTATTGCTTCCGTTTTGTGATTTTATGGGCTTTGCTGATGATGGATGGACGGTGTGTCGACTTTTTTATTCGTGGAATTTCCAATCCATCTTCTTGCCAAACTGTTATGGAAATTAAATTATATGAGATTCGTAAGGAAAATCTGGAAGTTTATACGTGTGCATCTTTTAATATAATTAATACTTGTGTTATTCTTAGACAGTTAACCAATCACAGAAACATAGATTATTTACTTTCTTCCGTGTCGTAGGAGATGAAGGCTTTGTATTGTAGAACATACTTTTTTTAAAAGAGTAACGAATGGAGTTTCTTGCTCGTTCTTCTCCATTCGAATTTACATTTTGGAATGAGCACCTAGCTTAACTGACGGACTGACTTACAGACTATTATCTATTTTGTATTTGTTGACGTTTCAAAAGTACCAAATTATGGTTTAATTGAAATACCGATATATTTGACTTTGGAATACCGGTATATCATTCTGGAGATTGGCTACATACGTATGACTTATTTTCAAGATTTAGGTAAACTTACATAATATTTATTTTGAGTCTTTTAAAAGAAAACTGCTCTTTTTTATGTAGATGCATATGTTCAACCTAACACGGCCATTTGTGACGTCACAAGAAAAACGCAAAGGGAGTTGAATACATAAGTACCGTTAGTTCATAACCTAACCCAGTTCCATTGCTTGGTATGAACGCTACCGCAGTAATAGTTTTTCAAAAGTCACGAATACCTATAAATCAAATATATTATGTGCTTCTCGATTTAAATGCGCATTTACGACCATTTAGTGATGCGAAACACTTACATAAGGACACATTTATATGCCCTAGTGACCTATTTTTAAGTCATTTAGAATTATCTACAGTTGACTGATGGAGTTAAACTACAAGTTTCCTGTTAAATGATGTTGAGAAAAGGAGCGCTGTTTGGACCCGACAACATGACTTATTTCATTGGACTTGAGAGGCAAGTACTAATATGTAGTTGCATTTTAGGAGTTTATTTTGTACATGGTACGATACGGTACGATTTTAAACCCTCGTGTATCACAAGTTTTGCGTCAAATTCTGTCTCACACAGCTACTTAAACACCGAAGTATATTTTGGTCCTTATGACCAGTGAAACTTGTGACCAAAAGACCAAAAGGACCATTACAAAATAAGTTATTTTGGACTAACCTGAAATATTGATTCGTTCCTCATCATAGTAGTCGAGCTTATGCAGCAGTTCCTCATCATCATCAGGCAGGACCGGCTCCTCGGGAAGTTCGTCGGGGTGGCGCGCTCGCGTCGCGTTGGGTGCTGCGCTCACCAGCACGCACACCACCGCCAGCGGCAGCACCACCTCCATAACGACATCACCGCGCACACCACACCACACCGACGCTGCTGGGGACAACATCATTTTATATTAGCTTCGTATGCATATAATCATATACTAGTAATACTTGTACGTATAATTGTCGCTGTTTACGTGTTGAAATTGATAAGACAAGTTGGGAATTAACTAATTAACTAAATAGAATTATCAAAAAGTCATAAGCCGTAATGGAAGAATCGGAATACTTAAACAATTTTGAATTCCTGATGGTAAATACATTATGATTGATGTATGTTAGATACATTATTGCTTGTCCAGCTATGGTATGATTTTCACGTAATAATAACACCGTTATATTCCAGTATGATTGTAAAATAAAGTAATTCAATGTGATAATATTCAGCTTATTACATCATTTAAAGTATTTAGACTATAGAGTCTAAATGAAGGCTGACAATAAGTCTAAGGAAGTACTCAGCCGTAATTTTAGAAATGAAAATGTTTTACCCAGTTACTACAGTCGGACAGACGCCGAACAAAAGTTAGCATTGTGTTCATATTTGCGCATCGAAATGGGAAAGTTATTAAGTGGATTATATCCAACTCTATCTCTGTGTGTGTGAATTCCATCTGTGTGTTATTTTAAGAAACGTCTCTGTAATTATTTTGACCCTACATTAAAATTCATTATGATTTGATGTATTCTTGTTGTGTTAGTTTTCGTAGATCCTATAGATGCTATAATAGCGTATTAAAAGACACACACACAGACGTACACACGTGTTTATGATGCATATTAGTACACAGGATTTAGAAAATTGGAAAATGTTGTCCACACGTGTTTTGGAAACCATTATAGTTAATTGAACACTGAACAGCTACTAGACCCGCCCTCTCAGCAAATTATTCATTAGAAATGATTCTTTTTATTTTATCTCTCAGAGAGACACCACTTCTTTATATTCCTCTTAGTTTCTGACGACAAACACTTTACTAGTAGAACATATATTTCTAAGAAAATTCGACTGAATAAACACTTGACATTCAGTAAGAAAATATATTAGTGACCGAGCCAAAAGAACTACAAAGATATTCGTGGAAATTAAAAGAAATATATTAGCAAAATGTTCTTTAAGTAACTTTGTTACTAAGCGAAAGAAAAATAAACTGTGAGAGAGAAACCTAATCAATGGTGACCCATTTCCATATGGATTCTTACTTACTTCAATATTTTTATAGAAGTAAAATACTTGGAATAAACAGCGGATCGTTTACAACTTTCTTATATGGGGACAAAGACCTGGATTTTTATGGAGGTCGAGACGACTATAAAGAACTTAATTGATCTAACTTTGGTTAAATAATTCTGCCAAATGCCTACAAATCTGGTTGTTTTATATTTGTTAGGGTACATATTGTTTTGTTGTCACAGATTTTTATATGACAACGTTTACTGTATATATACTTAATATTAAACATTTCTAAATTTTGAAACGTAATTTTCTTTTACTTGGATGAACTGTGTGGCAGAGTAGGATAAATCTGACCTCTCATTCATATTGTGAGTGTTGTGGAAATCGTATATAATAGATTATACAATAGACCTTAGAGAAATACAGCCTAATGCACTATTAATAATGACTTTAAATAATTGCTGTGGATTGGAAACTGAGGATCACTAAACCATTTAGCAGGTTCGGTTATAAAAGACATATATAAAACGAACTGACCAAAGATAAAGACCTTTAGTTCAACATTTTCAATATATGAACGTGATCCAGACGATAGCGTTTAAACCCATAATCCAATCTAACAGTTCTGCAGTTCCAGTCTGGATTACTAAAGTGGGATGGATACGTATATTAATGGAGTACACGGTGAGAACAGGTGTAGCGGTTGTGGCTGTGACACCTGTCCAATTCGGAACCGTTCCAAGTTGGCAGCCAGCCGGACTGCGGCAGAATGTATTACACTAATATGTGGAGAATTTGTTGCACTCTGTTGTTTACTTATCTTGTACAATTGTATGGTGATTATATGTAATTTATGTACATATTTAATAACTAATTTAACGGAAATTATAAATTATGTGTAAGAGACAATATCAAAGGAAGGTCTAAGAAAAGTAATTGACGTTGATTTATTTAAGTGTGTTCTGACTATAGTCAATTGTGTTTCCTATGGTTTTTAATAAATGATATTGTTTTAGAAAATAGTAAAGTATCAATTTATGAAATTGATGATTGATGGTCATGGGTCAACAGTGCCAAAAGTGCCAAATACTAAATAGTCTTTTAATTAAGCAATGAAAATGCAATATCTTGGTATTTTTTTAAGGGGGGAAAATCGTCGAAAGAATTCTCCCGCCTGGGTGAGCCGGAAGGGAGCGTCAGAGTCTTACTGACTAAAAACCACCCCGTTCCTACTCCTGCACTACGACGGGGAGCCCCGGTAACCCGTTAAGTTCTCCGCGGATCCGTATCGGCATCAGCCCTAATTGGGCCCTATCCCTGGAGGTTTGTCGCGGAGAACCTAACGGGTAACCGGGGCTCCGGCTCGACGTGCAGGAGAAGGAACGGGGTGGTTTTTAGTCAGTAAGAGTCTGACACTCCCTTCCGCCTCACCCAGGCGGGAGCAGTCATTCGATGATTTTCCCCCCTTAAAAAAAAAAAAAAAAATCCCTGGAGGTTTGATGGCTCTTTGAAGCGCGTGCGGAAGGCGACGCGCCGCTCGCTTGGGTCTGTTTCTGGTCGGACAGGGAGCCACCCTTGTTCGCGCTTACGGTGGCAGGAGATCGTCCAGGGTGATTGACATTAAGAAAATATCGTGCCACGGAACAATATGTACTAAGTACCATTTAATTTGACGTGTCGAGTAGTAATATTGAATGCGGCTGTTGTGGAAAACTACCCGAACAACTCGTTACAAGCAATTGTAATTAAATCGTTATACAGTTGTGACATACTGCTGGTCATCACGCGTAGTTAGTACAGGGTGTGTTTTAATTGGGTTTGAATTATTCTGTTGGTTACTTTACTAAAATTGTTATACCTAATTTAGAAGTTCAAAAACTGTCATAATATTTCCTCTTATAATTTCTGCAGGTTTTGGTAGACGTGTATATTATTGGTCACACACTTTTAGCTAGTTGCCATTAAGTGTAATGGGGCTTATATTATGTATATGGGCATCTTAATTCGTGAATATAATACGAATTACACTTAAATTCTTGAATTATTAACTAACTTATTACTACTTACTAACTTATTACTAACTAATTACTTTAAATTAACTGTTTCCTAAAAAAAACTGGTAAGACTTGAAAACTTTGCTACTGTTCATTGGAAAACTTAATGACATGATTAATAACAATTTTTCGTGAACTTTGTAATTTTGGGGCGATGTCGAAATATAACCAGGAAAATTGGATATTACATTGTATGTGTGCAATTGTGCATCTCTGCCTATCCCTTCGGAGATAAAAAGTCGTAACGCATGTAATTTAATTTTAGAAAATAATGCGTAAAGCTTGGCAGTTGGTGAGCTATTTATTATGGTACTAGCTTCTGCCCGCGACTTCGTACGCGCAATCCCATTTCCCCCCGCTCGTGATTTTCGGTAAAAGTAAAAAAAAAAATAGATAAAAAGTATCCTATGTCCGTCTCCTGGTTCTAAGGTACCTCCCTGACAATTTTCATCCAAATCGATTGAGTCGTTCTTGAGTAATAAATAGTGTAACTAACACGACTTTCTTTTATATATATAGATGATCACTTTTATTGCACACTTAAGTAAAATATGAACAGCAAGCTAAGTTTTAGTATAACATTTATATGTTTATTTATTCAAACACCGTTTTCCCTTGTCTCTCATTTAACAAAGTGTGTGTAAGTCAGAAATGAACACAAATAACATTAGTTAGTACCCCTGCGTCCAACAGGTTGGCGTGAGAGAACTGTTCTACTATTTATTAACGCACTTTTTACAGAGATAACCTTCACACACTATTATTGTTTGTGTAAGTAGGAAATAATAATAGTATGCGTCTAAGTTAGGCGATATAATTTTCTGTTCATTGGTTTTCAAACAGCTCGTGATCATTACATGTATTAGTGTTAGACATTCGTCACACGAATATAGCACAAATCCAAACAGCGCACGACACCTGAGAATTTCTTAAACCAAATAACAATTTGAGCGACCCAGTTATCGAGTCCTTGATACGAGACCTTGATTGTCAAACGGGTAATGATACAGCCATAACAATTGTAATAAACAGAATCCACAAAACTTTAAAGATTTTGAAACCTCACAATGTAAATGAAGAAATAAAATCAGGTTACAGAAAACTCCTACAGCTGGGAAACCTTTTCAATGAACGCTGGGACTCGGGAACCACCATTGTCGTTTGGGGCTTGGGGCTTGTGTACCTTCTGCCTACGCGAACAGAGTTTCGTACGGAAGGGCTCCGGGCACAATCGTATTGTCACCAACAAATTGTCAATTTAAATATGATATCTTCCCCGACCTTTTCTGATTATTATTTTTTCCACTTTCCGTCACGAATATTGAGATTCTTTTTTTACCAATTTGAAGATGTCTTTTAAGATAAATACCGGGGACCGATTCGAGCTCGCTATTTGCGAACGGGAAAACTGGAAGATAACATTTATTCTTTCTTCATAATAATTAACTATTGAGGATTTTTTTATGGAAATTATGTTTCTTCTATTAAGGTTGAAGAATGTAAATTATGGTAATTTAGATAGAAGGTACGTTTGTTGGGTTAGATGTGGTACTAAATCTTGAGTGTTGTTTTTAGGGTCGGTATTAAATTTTTGAAATAATAGTTTGAAAAATTATCTGAACATGTAAGAAATTTTGATAAATCATAAAAAAGAACTTACAGCTCGTTTCTTGATTCAAAAATAGCCATAATAATAAGTTTTCATTTGAAACTTTAATGGTGTTAACCTACTTTACAGTTCATTACAGTACAGTACAGCCTTTATTTAACTTTAACGTCATAA